GGAAGTGCCGCAATTTTTTTACCACTAGAATATGTCTAGTTATCCTTTTACGTATAGCGGTCATTGCCAAGTTTTATTCAACTACCATGATAACTCATAAGGGGGATTTAATTTGCTACTGGTTATTTCCCTTACACTTTCTACTTATTGAATGCTATTTACATAAATAGCTTTATTGAAAGTGGATCCCCGGTAAGGTCAAATATTATTGGCTATTCCCATCAATGTAATTTGATTTCCATTAAAATTGCGAGTTGTTTTAGTTTCTTCATCGCCGCCTTCCAGAATGGCAATTTGAGCACGATGAAAGCACAGTATCAGACTCGGTAAGCGCTATTCTCATTGGTCTTCTCAGTTTTCTCAACTACCTGACTCGAAAATGGTTAAGCTATTTGTGAACAACTTCTTAAATTATTTATTCAACTTAACCTTCTCTACGTTTTCCGACATTTTAAAAGATTTTCAGCGATGGAACGTTAAGAGTGATTCGTCCGCTAATTTTTGTTCGTGAACGGGCACTGCGTGAGTTTGCCGACTCTCAAGGTTTGCCAGTTGTTGCTGAGAACTGTCCAGCATGCTTCAATCAGGCAACGGAAAGGCACAGGATTAAACAAGTGAAAGATTTTATCTAATTTCATTCAGACTAGTCATTAGATAACAAACTTTTAGTTGCTTGCTCAACAAGAGCTCATTTTTCCCGATCTTTTCAATTCGCTACGATCGGCGCTTCGCCCACTTCTTTTAGTAAGTTTATGTTCAAGATTTCAGCAGCTGGTAAATCCTCAACAATTAGTTTATATTTTGAAATGTAATGATTTCTCACTTACCCTTGGAATGTTAAGGTCGACTCGGCGAGAACAGATGAAATGCGTGCGTTGGCGATAGAAAATATAGTCAAATTCAATAAAGGAAAAGCTAAATGATAGTTTGTCTCTTTGAAAAAAAACTTCCATGAAGTCTAAGATACAGATTTCTAAGCTAGTTATGGTATTGGAGCTGCTTCGTACGTAATCTGGATCATAGATCCGTTGTTACTGTTATATGTGACGATTTTTCTTCTTTGTTATAACGTGATAGTTTCACCTATGCATAGGTCATGTATACAGATCCAAATGATTCCTAATATTCTTTCACTTTCTTGCGACTTCGTGATTAAGTATGAATATCCTTACTGAAGGAGTTATTGTGAATAAATAATTTGAACTTTAAAATTTTGCTAATTTACATTATCTGTAATGAACCAAATCAATGGTTACTTAGCATTAGTCATGGGTTTTGCTTGTGGTATATGAGAGGTTTACCATCCACATCATTAAGAAGAGTAACTTCTCTTGTTGGAGAAGAACTTGAGAATGAAACATTTTGCGAACCAAATTGTCGTGCCGTCGTCCAATCGAAATGAGGAGCCTAAAATCTGATTAATTAACGAGAGATAAAATATCCAGACTCAGTCAGCGATGGAGATAGTAAAATCTATTTCTGATATTGTAATATTCGGATATGCCAAAAATTGAAAAGAAAAGGAGGAATTATGCCTTGTACAGGGGTTTGCAGTACCCAGTTGATAAGAGAACGTCGAAATCACTTTATTGACATGTGAGATGGCAAACCCCATACTTCTACCCTTCTCTATCTCAAGTTATAAGCGTTTAAGCACAAGCGAAATTCTTGGAATTACATAAGAATTAGCAGTGATCTTCGATCTGAACCTTTTCCCTACCATAGCTCGCTTGAAAAGAGCTCTCGTGAGCTGGGGAAAAAACGCCTATGTTACTTTTTGTTGAGAATTTTAATTATGATAATATAACACTTCTACCTTCTCTGCATTGATTAAGTCACCAGGATTTGCATTTGGATTTTAGTAGTTTAGACACTCACCGATCAACAAAGGTTCAGTTTTTCATAAAGTGCATGATGAGTATTTATTATATCCTGCATTCCAGCTCTCAAGCTTTGTTCCGAACTTATGAATTCTACAACAAAATTCAAAAATTCAAAAAAAATGATATTTTCACATTCATCCGCTTCACGAATAAATTGTACCTGGTTGACGCTAATGAAGAAA